ATCACGGATCACAACCACATAGAGGACCATAAAAGAAGAGGTCACAAATCGCAAGCACACGGAGCTAAAGGTGAAGGATCACAGGCACAACCACAAGAATCTCAAGATTGTCAATCATGGTTACAGTGTTCAAACTAGGGTGAGGGTGAAGGATAATGGTTTTTTGGTGTTCTTTTGTTGTCATTTGAACTTGTATCTTTCAGATGGAATTATGGTCTGGTGTATTGTTGGCATTATTATGGATCATTAATTTGCTTTTGTTGGTATTTTGTATCGGATTTGTGAACATGATCATGGTTTGATGGCATTATTATGGATCATTGTATTGTTTGCGTTGTTATGGATCATTGTTTTGCTTTTGATTTTCTTGGTATTTTGTATCAGCCACAAGCTTCACAAGCACAAGTTTACACCATATTTTTAACCCTCATTTGAATCACCAAACCTGTAATATAATCCCATCTCAATCACTAAACCTGTCTAATTCATTCATTGCCAAATATTGTACAAGTAATTATAACAAGATGCACTTCATTCATCGCCATATATGAGTGAAACTTAACAAAAGGCAAACTTATATAATACATTTCCAACACATACAACACAACCACAAATCTGAATAGAACTCATAGAATACATAAACTAAATCTACCAAAGTAACACAAACTATTCTTCTCACACTAATAACCAACAACAAAATTGGTTTTCTTTTCTTTACTAACCATCATGCAAACAATGACAATGGTCATGAAGTAAAGACACACAAAGCACAATTTGTTCATCGCTTTGCACTTCTTTATTTCCATTTTGTTCCACAATATCTCTTCAACTAATCCTTCAATGAAAACCTTTAAATTTTCAACCTCAGATTTGGCATTGCAAATCTCAGTTTCAATGTTTCCTAGTTTTAGTAAACTATCTTCTACCTCTTCAACTACACCATTCTCAACCCACTTAAACAAATGCCCATATTGTAGAAACAGAGGATTGAGAGCGATGTAAGGGGGATCGGTGGCCGAGGTAACCCTCTCCAAGATGGCCAGAGTACAAATCGAAGAGGGCCGATCCAACTTCTCAACCCTCTTGGGAGTACGCGATATTTCCCCTACTACTGCATGACTAGGTGAAGGAGGTGCAGTAGGAATCGGAAGACAAACTGTGAGATGAGGATGACATCGCGGCACGAATTGAGAGCTAAGCATGAATGAGGGCAGAAATTAAAGGAGGGCTGAAGTAGAAAAGAAATCATAGAAGAAAGTGAAAAATAGCATTGACGGTCCCCAATGGGTCTTATAAAGGCCCACGAGACCGAAACAGCACACATAAAAACATCACGACCATTCAATAATAAAAAATTCGAGGATCATGTCACAAAATGTCCTCCTTCGAGCCGTGCATCTGAAAAGACAGATCATTATGAGGAGGAAGGTGAATTTTTCCTCATGACGGCGACGGCAAGCACCAGTTTGGGAGAAGTAAAGAAAACAGCGCGGCACTATTTCTCACGCGGTGAGCAAACAAAAATCTGACACGTGGCCTGCGACATCGATGAATAAAGACTGTCTCGACAGCCGCGATAGAGTCCTGTCTGGGCGAGAAAGGTCTCCCCGACCCGGAAAGCAGTGCAAAACCAGCAAAGTCCCCGATCATCGTTGAATAATCATTTCCATCCCCATCAGGTCATTATGCAACGGTAAGAACTTCCAAACTTTACAGGGACGTGTAGCCCACTAAGATGATCCTTGCCTACAAGGACAATAATCGCAGGCCAGTTGGTCACCGTTTCCTTGTGCAGGCATGCTCGCTTGGTCCTCTGTTTGAATGATTGGATGCGTGCGTGTTTTCTTGATTCATAGGTCGCATGATTATTTGATTTTTTGTTTGTGTGACTTTTTGCTTGTGTGATTTCTTGCTTGTATGATTCTTTGCTTACATGTGCCCTCGACTTTTTGCTTACATGCTTGTTTGACTGCTTAATTGTCCGAGTCTCCGTGGCTCTTAACTTTACACCCCTTGTTTGCTTATCGCTTTTCGATCATGTCACCATATTCTCGTTTACATAATCTTACCCTCCGGAAGCATCATATTTGTGGTTCAATTTCTATCAAAATCCTTCGTCCGAATTTCAGACAACATGCTCCCTCGTGGACTTGCTTGCCTTCCAGGGCACTATTCCTCTGGGAATTATGGATTCCGGTCTTGCAGACTTTCGTGTCTTCCTCTCCAGCTCCCTCCAAGGACTGCACGACTCTTTAGTGTGTTCCCTCTGGAAATGTACTTGCCTTTCAAAACATCACCAGGAATCAAGATTGCCTTTTTCAGGAGCTTTCTCTTCCCAAACATTCATGATCTCTCTTCCAGGGAAAATCCAAACACAATTCTAAAAATATTAAACTTTTTACGTAATCATAATGCGAAGATTATTCCGACATTAAGAGAATAAGGGTAATACCTCCGGAAAATATCATGTTTTACCACTAGCTGGCTCGCACATACTACAAAAAGCGGTGATTCCCCCGTGTTAGCAACTTGCGCACAAAGACAATCTTTTCTTCCTTTCAAAGCCATATATAATTCAGAGGACCTAGTGAGACTTTTATCCCAAAATTACATATCATTCATTTTCCAGAAAACAAAATTTAGAGACTCAATTCCACAATCCAAATAAATATACTCCCATACCGTAAATTGTTTCAAAAATAATATCCAATATTTTTGAAACGATAAGTAGAAATTGGGGGTTCTAGTAAGAAAATACTAGATTTAGTCAACATACATTAAATTAATCGTAGCACGAAGCCTATACATGTATAAAAGTACAGAGAAGAACGAGGCCCATATGCTTTTAACTCACGCGCACTCAACAGCGCGTGAGTAACACTTATCAAATCTCAGATCACCTACAGGCTTTCTTTCTGATTGATTTTCTCCTCCGACAGAGAGAGAAAAAGAAAGAGATTAAAATCAATCATATCATATCGGAGAGAGAGAGAGGGAGAGAAGTAAAGAGAAGAGAGAAAATGTCCGGTGTGGCTGTTGTTCATGCGAGTTCATGGGGCGCGGCTCTGGTGAGGATTTCTCCGTACACTTTCTCCGCCATCGGAATCGCCATCTCCATCGGGGTTTCTGTTCTCGGCGCTGCCTGGTAAAAAAATCCTTTCTTACTCCGATTTTGTCCCGATTATGGTTTGCGAACCGGCGTGATCACGGAGCTACTTTCTCTCTCTCTCTCTCTTTCTCTGGTTTAGGGGAATTTACATCACGGGAAGTAGTTTGATCGGTGCTGCCATTGAAGCTCCTCGTATCACTTCGAAGAATCTCATCAGGTATCTCCACGATCATAGTGCTTAAACTTCTCTTGTCGTCCTCAATCAAAGGTTGACTTAGGAATTAGGATTCGTTACAAATTGGCTTTATAATGTTAAAGCACATTTTGGCTCTCATATTGTAATTATACAAGAAACTGAGTTTTGATTTTAGATGCTTGAACGATTTAAGGCTTCAAACTTCTCCACTCGTGCTCAGTTTCAGGAAATTTTGTAAATCAGATTGTAGCAAAGCGAATTGAAGAAAGAAAAGTTGACTAAGTATTCGTTAGAAATATGGCTTTATGATGATGATAAAACACATTTTGGCTCTCTCATATAGTTTCGTTTACAATATGTTTTGTAACTATACAAGAAACTTACTTCTGATTTTAGATGTTAGATCGATTCAAGGCTTTTAAACATCTCTACTCGTCCTTTAATTTCAGGAATTTTTGTAAGCTAGATTGTAGTACAGCGAATTGAAAAAAGATATGTTGACTTAGGAATCATTACGAGTTGGCTTTTTTATGATGCCATGACACATTTTGGGTGTCATATATGAATTTTGTAACCATACAAGAACTTGACTTCTGAATTTAGATGCTAGAAACTATGCCATGATGAACAAGTGTGTTTTTTTTCATTGTCTTTTGAAATGTTTTCATTTTTATTTTCAGTGTAATCTTTTGTGAAGCCGTAGCTATATACGGCGTTATTGTTGCAATCATATTACAAACGAAGTTGGAGAGTGTGCCATCATCAAAGATGTATGATGCTGAGTCTCTAAGAGCTGGATATGCAATCTTTGCTTCTGGAATCATAGTCGGATTCGCAAACCTTGTATGCGGGTCTGTTATCTTATTCTTCTTCTTCTTCTTCATCCTCTCTTCTGAAACTTTCAAAGCTTTTGTGACTTTTGAAAATCTCATCGTTTATGAATATGATTTTGCTTTTGCAGGTTATGTGTAGGAATCATTGGAAGCAGTTGCGCATTGTCTGATGCTCAGAACTCAACGCTTTTTGTGAAGATTCTTGTGATTGAGATCTTTGGTAGTGCTCTTGGGTTATTCGGAGTTATCGTCGGAATCATTATGTCAGCACAAGCTACATGGCCAACAAAATAATATATAAACTGGTAACTTTTAAACTTGTCCTCATTACTTTTTATTAATCTGTTTTTCGAAATCCAGGAAGAGTTACACACATCTTTGTTTATCTTCTTTGTTGTTATATCGTTTATCGCTTGTGTAGAAGAAAAACCATGTGTGACATTTTGGAGAAAACCATGTTTCTCCTTTGAATCCTATTTTTGGTTATGTGCAAACTTGAAAATAAGCCACTTTGGGGAAATCTCTTCATGTTTGTAATCTTTTGGTTTCTCTTATGACCAAATATAAGTGTTTTGTTGTTGTGTTCTCATTGAATGAAGTCAAACTCGAAAGCCGCCATTGTTTCAAACGTTGAACTTCTGTGTTTGCGTTGCGTTTATACAATTTTATTTTCTAAAATAGCGTTGATTCATGAGTTGCGAACTGTTTTTTTTTTTTTTGCTTAGGATGGTAAAATGATTTTTTGTGGTACAAACTATATATACGCAAGTATCAAACGAAGCTCGATTTCATCAATATACAACTTACTACACAACAACAACTAATTCTAATTGCGTATAGTATTAACATAAACTTATCAAAACTATGTACCAACATTTACACATGATCGAACCAAACCGAACAAGTCGATAATCCCTACACCAACATTTGCACATGATGGAACCAAACCGAACAAATCGATAATCCGGAAAAGAGAGGAAGCTATGGCCATTGAATCAGTAAGCCATACCTCCTGAAAACACATCTCCGTCATGAAGCAAGCTCTCTGTTAACCAGTAACCATCCCATGAACCGCCTATACGCTGCCATTTTTTCACACAAATTCATTCATATTTATAATCATCATCATCATTAAAAACTTTTAGGATCATTATAGTGACAGAGGATTCAACCTGGAACATTGTGAATTCAAATATCTCTTCTTCCTCAGGTCTGTTTCCTTGAATCCATATCCTCTGCTTGAAACGATTCTGTATAAAGAGAGGATATCAAGAGACATAGAAGGGAAGCTCTACAATGATTGTAACACATCTCCAAAACAAAGAGATGATACCTCCTCCACAAACAAACTGCTTAGGATTTGTCTGTCCTTATGACCAAGCAACACACGGTAAGACGAGTGATGAAATATACGCCTAAACCTTTCAAACTGCACCAAACCAATGAGAGAGACAGTGAATGAGAGAACTCTTAGGAACACAATAAACATCGAAGTGTTGAAAGTAACCTGTCCTAGATCAAAGAATGGACCGAAATAGGTTGATCTCTCAAACGGGTCGAATCCAGCAAACTGAAATTATACAAAAGATGTCAAAAACATCACAAAAGTCGTAATAGAAGGATCAAGGAGGTTTGTAATGAAGTTTTACCCGATACATGACCTCGATGCCATAATCATAACGAGGATGGTCATTATACTTCAATGCATCAAGCTGATGTCTAACAGCATCTTCCGCACTAAACTATAACAAAACAATCTAAGAAGTTGAATCAATACTACACACTACAACAGAGACAAAGCAATACATATGCTTGTACAAAGTAAACATCATTACATCAAGCCTGGGGCCAAAAGGACGTTTCCTACGACTCTCCAACCTGTAAAAACCAAGGAAAGATAAACAACCCAAGAACATTAATCTAATAAAGAAAAGTAAAATTTCGATTTCAAATGCTAAGGCAAACAACAAGGGCTTTGCAAAATCGAATCATTTTATTATTGCTTAGCTAAAATTCTCGAAACCAATTGATCAAAGCTGTTTTAATATAGAACGAAGCAAACGGCAATATTCGGATCTGCGTTACAAAATCGAATTTCAAATGGTTTTAGCTACTTGGAAACTTATTGATCAAAGCTAAAGCTATACAATCTGGAATGAAGCAAATAGCTAACATCCAGTAACACCTAAAGCTTGAAACCCAGGAAAATCAACGAAATTGAGTTAAGGGAGATCAAAGAAGGTAGCGATGAGAAGTTCGTACCAGTCCGCAGAGAGGAAATCGGGAACATCGGAAGAAGCTCGCACGAGATAACGGTAGAGCCTTCCGTAGCCATTGAAAGGCTTCAGGTTAGCAGATAAGGAAGGAGAAGACGGGAACACGAGAGACCGAAACGACATCGTTTGTTCCCGATGAGTGTTTTGCAGTAGAATGTCAAAATTGAGGTTTCTGATTACCTTTGTGTGGCTCTCGCCGGCCGTTGTCTTTTGTGTGCTGAGATTTCTAATAGCAGATTTTGACATTTTTACTAAAACTTCAACATTAAATGGAAAATGAAGTTTCATTATCTCAAAATCCATCTAAACTTTTACGAGAACCCAATTTTCTTACCATTTGATACACTTAAAAAGTTACAATGCCATGAAAATATATCAAACTTTCAAAATAGAAGGCTTGGTTGAATCAACGTTCCCACTATTATTTTCCATATGTCTTTTCACAAATGTAATTGTTCAATTTTACTAAGTTATCGTACATTCCCCCATGTCGTGAGATGTACATGCAAAAATTACTCAACCGTGAACATATTAATTTTTAGACGAATTAAAAATCTAAAAATAGTGTCAATCCCTATAAAAAATGAGAGTCCACTAAAATTTTCACATCACTATAAATCCCTGCTTGAGTGTGGCTTGCGAGTTGTCAAACAAAATTTGATTTATCTTTTGGGTTAAATAAAACAATAATGAAATGAGAGTTTCGTGTGAATCAAGGATCTCTTGCAAGAAGGAGAAAATCACCATCTCTGATAAGAGTGATGTCGTCAATTTCGGCTCCTTCTCTTGTAAGTACTTTAGTTGGCACAAAACCCATCTTTTTCTCACCAATTTCCAATAGCTCTTCCAAAGAATTCGGCAACGATACCACTTTTCCACCGATTTCACCGTTTTCCGGTGAACTAATCGTAACTCTCGCCGGATAAAAAGCACCTCCTCCTCCTGCTGGAACTGCTGGGCTTCTTGTAGTTTCTACTCCATCATCACCTGTAGAAATGAAACCATGCTTTTGTAACAATTAAAAGAAGGCAAAAAAGGCCAATTTCTTTCAAAACTAAAGAAATACACCATTACTTTTAGACTAGTTTTTAGGATTTCTAAGGGTTATATAGGCTAAAGTTTTAGACTATTCTGATAAAGATATGACCTATTTATTTTTTAAAGAATCTATATGGTTCTTGTGATATTGTGAACTTCTGAAAACAAGGGTTACGTGACGAAAAAGCAACCAGTAATAGAGATCAAATGATGTAGAGCTGAGGCAATTTACCGGTATTAGCAGCTGAAATGAATCCGAAGAGCGAGTTTCTGAAGTTACTGAGTTTCCGTCTCTGCGAAACCACAAGCTGTCCTCCTTCTTGAACAAGCTCTCCTGAATGTGGCATTGTAGGCTCACTGCTATACCTCATCAATGGCTTTCCAGCAACAGGAAACTCAGGTGTTCCAGACACACGTTTAGGTTTCTTCTCCACAGGCCTGTGATCATGGAACAAGGTTTTGATGTCTTCATGACCTTGATGCTCTGCAAGACCTCGAGGAGTCCAACCGTAAGAATCTGGCATGTCCAAATCAGCTCCTTTGTCTAACAAGAACTTCACAATCTCCAAATGTCCTTCTGACACTGCTCTGTGTAAAGCTGTGGTTCCGTTTCCGTCAGCGAGTGTGACGTCTCCGCCGTATTTGATGATGTCTTTGAGTGATTCTAAGCTGTTTTTCTCAACGGCTAAGCAAGAGAAATTGCTCACTGAGTCTACGCTTAATTTTGCTCCGTTTTCTGCAAGGAGTTTCGCAATTCCTTCATGTCTCCCTATGATTGCTTCCCACAATGGCACATTACCTTCTGAATCTGTACACAAATGTACAAGCCACCGATTAATTAGATTTACTTGAGAAAATTTCAACTACATATATATAGTTATCTAGTGTGACATTTTTTTATTACTACTTACCTCTAATGTTAGGATCTGCGCCGTGTTCGAGAAGTAAAACAACACAATAATGGCTTCCTCTTGATGCTGCGATATGCTGAGAGATATACAGAGAAACATAGAGAGTAAGCAATTTTAGTTTTGGCACTAAAAGATGATGATGGAATGTATACAGAGGAAATTTGTAGGCTTATACCAGAGCGGTTCGACCATTTTTATCCATTTCATCAGGGCTTGAGCCTCGTCTTAGTAGCTGGTGAAGCAACAAATCGTCTCCTCTCGTTGCAGCAAAACATAAACTGAGAGGTAAATCCATTTTCCCTTGAGCCAACATGTGTTCTGTATCGGCCAAAATGCCTTTCATCACTGGATCTTCCGACTCTTTTAAATGCTGCATCAACCAAAACATATCCGTTATGGAACAAAAATGTTTGACACTTGAAGCAAAATTGGTTTGGTTATCAAGAAAAAGATAATTATGATGATTCCAGAAAAAGAAAGGGAAAATCCATACATACCTGAAGAAGATTATTCATGATAATTGCTCCATCTCCTACGTTTGCTTGAACAAGGTTTAAGAGTGTGGTACGGTTCAGACGAAGCAACTGACTCAATCGCTTGGTACGAACAGTAAACAGCTGCGGTCTGTAACACAGCACTCCAACTTCCCCAAAGACATTTCCTCTCTTTGCTTCCTTAACTACCTGTAAAGAACACACAACAACCAAATTGAAACGAGATGTTAAGGAAGAACACAATCGGATCTTAGAAAGACTTAAAAACGGTACAACGACAGATCGACTTGCCTGCTCCACTCCGTTTACACGTGCGATTATTTCCTGCGGGAAAGAGCAATTAGTGCGTAAGGAACAATACAAGAAGTCGATTCATATATGTTATCTTGTAAAACAAGCAAGCGTTCCATATATATATCACTTACAACAGCTCCTGTCACCAATATGTAAAAGTCTGTAGGTGCTTCATTCTGCAAAATCACATCTTCTTTTGGAGGAAAATACTCTGCTTTCATTTCCGTGACCTACACACAACCGAAAAATTCGAGAGTTAACATCATAGAAAGACGATTAAGTTCCTACACGACAGATCATAGAACGTACCAACTGGAAGAGAAGATCGTTTGATATTCCATGGAACAAGTAAATCTTGTCAACAACTTCATAGAACAGATAATGCGATATACTAGACCGGATTGCTTTGGGCAGCGAATCGATGATTTCTTGCTGCTGTAGACCTTCCGAATCGGTTCTGTACCTCAAGCACAAATGAGCAACCATCTGATCTTGCAAACGCACTGGTAAATTGTTCCTCTGACCAAACCCTGATGCAGCTTGAATGGTATCTCTCTGAAACAATGCCAATCCAATCAAAACTCATGAAAACTCAACATTTAAACCAGTTTCTTGCTCAGAAAAGTTCATAAACTTACAAATTTTCTGGTGCGGCCGGTGACGTGAACCACAAGGTTGGTCATATTACCAATTATATAAGCCGACAATCCAAGATTAAAGACCATGTAGAAAAGAATGAAAGTCATCTCTCTTGAGTTAACACCATGTATATCACCATATCCGGTTGTGGAGAAAGTAGTGATAGACCAATACATCGCCGTGTTGTACCGGACAGCGAGAGGAGACTGTTTCCAGTTCTCGTCGGTCAATGCCATGAACGTCTTTGAAGGGTCTGGATAATGCGCAGCGATCGAATATAGGAAGCAAGCACCACAGTGAATCACAAAAAGCGTAACCTAACAATATCACCAAAATCAGTAGAAGAACAACGGAGAAAAAAAAAGTGTGTAAAATCAATCAAGAAAGGCATAGATATACTAACAAGAAGCATCTTCGTGCATCGAACCCAAAAGTAGCTGTATCTCCTATCTTTCTCTAACCTGAACATTAAGATCGCTCAATATTATACTCACCATAAAGAGAATAATGGATTCAAGAAACTGAGCTATGTATACACACTACTCCAAACTTTACCTGGCAAAACAATTACTAACCCTACGAAGACGCCAAAGACGAAGCATACTGAAAATCCCATATCCTTGAATACTCTCGTGTAATAAGCTACCAAAGCTTTCGTAAGGAAAAGTGGATACAACATCGAAAACAAGCCAAGTCGACGTATATCTCCAAGCGATTCTCTTCGGGTCGTCGACGAGGAGGTAAGTTGCCTTATCGAGGAAGGCAAGGAAGAATGTGAGGACTATATCGACGGCGAAAAACCCGTTGACGACATTATCGAGAATACTGAGAGGTGCTCGTGGCTTTTGCAAAAAACCGAACTCGAAAGGCGACGCCCAAGCTGTGTAGAGCACCAAGAACACTAGAAACGTTTCCCACGCTCTGTAATATTACAAAATTACGCAGCTTCGTGAGTGATACTATGGCAATGTAGCTAATAGGTAACTGATAATACTGTATAACTTAATTGGTATGTAGTTTTTTTCAAAAAAGTTTTCTGAAAAAGTGATTTCACTAGATGTACACTATTCACAATAAAACGCATGCAATGATAAAACATAAAAGCTAATAAGTGTTTTTTAATTTCAATCCATACGTCTTAATTTTATAACTTGATTAGACAAAACGTTTTTGTTATTGGAGATTTTCAACTCAATATTCAATGAAATATAGAGAGAAATCTCAGAAAAAGGGAAAAATTACATCCGCTATTAACCCTAATTTTTTTGGTTTTAAAACTAACCCTAATTTTGTCACGATAAACAAATTAAAAAGCCAAGAAGAAAAATAAAATTGGACCTGTAACGAGGATCAAAAGGAGAGATGATGAAGCGACGGAGATTGACGTCACGGGAAGAACGAGAGGTGGCTCCGAGAGAAGGAAGAAGGCCTTTGCTAAGGCTGTATTGGCTCATTGTTCCATCTCGAGATAAATGTTCAGCCACGTCATCCTCCGCCTCCTTGACTCTTCCTCCTCCTCCTCCGTCTACTTGGCCGTCTTTATCTCCCCAAAACCATACTTTCTTCTTCTTATCCATTGAGAGATATTGATTTATTTTCGAGATTTCGTTTCACGTTTAGATTTTGATTTTGGTTTGTCACAAGAGAAGGAGACAGACGAAAACAATATATCCTATTTAGCCGGTTTCTAATTTCCTTTTTGTTACGTTCGTTTCTCTTAACTTATTTATTTATTTTCCTTTTAGGCCTGAGAGGTCGGAGAACTGTTTTTTTTTCTCGCCAACAATTATGAGCCTAAAAGTTTTAAAAATTAACAAATTCGCTTATTTATTTGTGAAATTTAACTAAATGAACAAAGATACGTATCTCCTTCTTTTCCTTTCTGAGTCAGTAAAGAAATTTTAGTAAATTAACTTTTCTGGTAAAATTCCAGAAAGTTTGAACGTAGAGATTTAATAAGAGAAGAAATTTTCCATCGTTGTAACAACTTCATTGGTTACAGTTTAAAACTTTTTAAGCTTTCCGAAAGCCGATAACAAGATCTAAAAAGAAAACTCTTGAGCGTCCTAATTCAGATGAGAGAAACGTTTCCAAGGAGGAAGAAAGCAACCCGGAATCGAGCTCAAGGGGTTTGACTTCAGGTTTTTGGAGGCAAAGCAGTGTCGAGGGATTGCTTGAGAAACTAGAAGCAGATCCTGCGTTTCATAGGTTAGGTGAGCAGCTTTGGAGATGTATTCCAACCGCATGGCTGAACGGAGGTAACCTAAATGACAGTGCTCAAAACCATGAACAGTTCGAGAAATCAGTGTGGCAGGTTATGGAAAGCCCTGAGTTTTCGGCACACATGGAGCGCTTTGATAACCTCGTTGCGCAGGTTTTTATTTCTCTTTTTTCTTCTTTCTTTGTTTAATCATCCGGTCTGATCCTGAGTCCTGACACGGAATCTCCTGTTTGGTTTTTTGTTTTGTTTTGTTTTAATCGATTTGTCTCAGGATCCTAATACTCTCAGGATCAATAGAGCAGCAGAGCGATTTGTTGAGCTTAAATCGAAGAAGATCCAGAATTGAACACGATATACGTGGCGGTGTGATGAAGTATGTGATGGAAAGATTTGTATGATTCCTCACAAAAGTTTTAGGTGTATATAATATAGTTAACAATTTTGTTTCTGCTCTAGGGACTTGGATGATGAAGATGAAGATGTGTTGAAAACGCAGCCAGGTGAAGCATTAGATTAGACTGCTTGATCTTGCAGCATCGCGTGACATCTTTTGAATTTCTGCTTTCTTTTGTTTTTTAGCTTATATTTTATTTTCTCCAGACATTTTTATGGGTGTTTCAAGTCTTGTTTTTGCTTATCCTCGTCGAGTGAGAGTTCTCTTTTAAGCTTTGTGTTGTTATTCTCGGCAAAAAAAAAAAAAAAAAGGAAGAACAAGAAATTTTAGTGTATATGATGATGTGAGGAACAAAACAAAAAAAAAACGGAAATATTTCCTTTAATGCAGTTGGTATAAATGGAAACCTATAAATGCATGCATAATAAGGATATTAAGGATATTCTAATCATAGATGCTTCAACTACTCGGGTGGTTTATATTAAGGATATTCTAATCAAGATATCATACTCCTATAATTTACTCACTGATAATCTTTAAGATTATTCTTTCACTGCTGTAAAAAAAAAAAAAAAAGATTAAACACTCATTTAGACTTGAGGTCAGAGAGTTATTGATTCTTGTATTTAAGATCTATATTAAAATATAATGTTATTGTTCAATGATTTTAAAATTTATAATAAAATACAGTATTATAAAATCTAAATATTATAAGAATTTGAATTTTAATTAAACTAGGTAGTTGGCCCGCACATAATGTGCGGACATGAAAATTTTATAAAAAATTAATTATTAATAATATATATCATTAATAATAAATAAGTGATTGGTCTGTTTTGATAATATATTTGTTAAAAAAAATTGTTTGTAAAAAAGTGTTTTAATAGATTTGGGAAATTGAGTCATAGTAAAAAATAAAACATATACAAATTTTAAAATATTTTTTTAAAAATTGTAAAATAAAATAAAATGATTCTTTGTTATTCGTTGTTTTCTACTTTTTATTTATATTTTTCATCTTTTTATATTTTTTTCCGTCACTTTACGTCTTATTTCTGGTTCGTAATTCTCACTATATAATTGAAATACATTCACATATAATATAAACTTTTGATCTTTATTTATAACGAGACAAAATAAGATGATAATAAAAGTGAAGAAATTCTCCTTCTAAAAATTTGATGCCACAAAATTTCACACAACAAACAATTGAACTTATAAATATTTTGCTAAAAACTTACTTAAAATAAGATTTCAAAAATTTCCATCAAAAAACAGATTTCACAAATTTCATGCCAAAAACATGTAACTTTCACACCCAAAAAATTACGTTAAAAATATGATCTAAAAACACTTTATCATAATTTCGATTTTGTGAATTTTTTGCCAAAAAGTAAATTCATAAAAAAAATTTTGCCAAAACTTTCCATTAAAAATGTGATTCTAAAAACTACTAGTCAAATTTTTTATTTAATGAATTTTCTGCTATCTAAGTGAACCGTAACTCTTCCATCAAAAAACTTTATTTAAAAGTATAATTTCAAAAAACTTTCATGAAAATCTGATTTCAAAATTTTTTCGCCAAAACATTAATTTGTAACTTTTTCACCAAAAATATTTATTTTAGAGTATTTTAATTTGATTTCGTGAGATATCAAAAAGTTTATGGCTAAATAGGTTGTCACAAATTTTCTGCTAAATATTTGAAATGCGTAAATTTTTTTAACAAAATTTTTGTGTCGAAATGTAATTTCAAATCTATTTGATAAAAATATAATTTTTCCAAAAACTTTAATTTTGCATCAAAATTTTACCATCAAATTTTATTTATAGATTAAATAATGCCATGTCACAAGCCATGTGTACTAAAAACTAACATGTCATAATTACATCATCATTACACATCATCATTTCCATGTCACATTAAAATTGTTCAAACTAAACATATTAACCAATCAAATTAAAACAAATCAGCATTTTTTATTAAACTACATTCTCAATTAATAGGTAGAGGATTTGAATAGATTTGAAAGGATTTTCATGACTAAAATACAAAGATCTAAATACAGGGCTTGTTGGATATTTAAGTGAATCCGTGCAACCGTTGACGAACTATTGCAACTGCTTAAATGAACATTTGCAACAATTTAAATGAATCATTGCAATTGTTGGGATTATGGTTAAAACCTTCAGTAACTAACCATTGCAACTGTTGGGTTTATGGTTACAATCTTTGGTGACTAACCATTGCAACTGTTGGTGCTCAACCATTGAACCCGATCAACCATTGTGACCTTTTGAAGTGACCTTTGGTTTCCTATATAAGGAGTTGTGAGCATTGCCAAAATTACAACAACAAAAACAGAAAGTACAAGTAGAAACAGAGAAAATAAGAAAGAAAGAAAGAGAGAGTTTCACTGTTCCAAAAGATCATAAACGATCTTTGGAAAAACACATATCAACACTAGAACTCTAGTGTGTCTCTTGTATCTTAGCCTAGAATAATAGAAACTTTTGGTTGTCTTATCCTACAAGGGATTTCGTGTAACCCAAGGCTTGATAAGTGTCGAAATACTCTTTAAGGAAAGTGTCCTCGTGCGTGATTCAATCATTATCCAAGTTCACAATTCATTATTTGGGTTACCATAATCCAACAGTCTTAAAGAGTATTTTCTTGTGAACAATGACTAGTGTGTCTGTGCGATAGATGACATCCAAGTTTAGAAAATTGGATGAGTTTGCGAAAAAGAGATTTTGATTACCTGTCCATCAAAAGGATCATAAAAGCAACTATCAGAAGGAGGAAAATCAATTTGTTAATTGATTCCCTAAGAATCCTTATCAAAAGCATATATTAAGGTACATGTTATGTTCTTCACATATTCTGGATTTTTATTGATATGTGCACTCATGTTGGATTGAGTATTTATCTTTATAAATTCTGGAAAAGTAAATAAACGTTTTGTAAGTTTTGCTTAATTAAATTATGTATACGAGTGTAATTCATAAGTTGATTAGAATCGGTTAATAGATTTGTAAATGGAATTCAAAGTAATATAGGTGGCTATAACCATTCGCTTTGGTTGGTTTAGTATCTGGAGATTATCCAAAGATGGAACATTAAATATAGATAGTAGATATGGGAAATGATATGTGGGTCTTTCAGATCTCCCACCTATTTGCAAGCCTTTAGGCTGCAAGTAGATCTTCAAAAAGAAGATCAAAGTCGATGAGGCTATTGACAAGTTTAAAGCTCGATTGGTTATCCAAGGTTTTAAATAAAAAGAGGTATTGATTATTTTAATACATATGCTCCAGTTGCTAGGATCTCTTCTATAAGGTTATTGATTGCTTTGGCAGCTATTAATAATCTTGTGATTCACCATATGGATGTTACGACAGAGTTCTTGAATGGCATTTTGGAAGAAGAGGTGTATATGAAGCAACCTGGAGGTTTTGCTATGCCTGGTAATGAGCATAAGGTGTGTAAGTTTATAAAGTCATTGTATAGGCTAAAACATGTACCTAAGCAGTGGCATCAAAGGTTTGATGAGGTTTTCTTATCAAGTGGATTTTAAGTTAAATCAGTCGGATAAGTGTTTATATAGCAAATTTGATGAGTCCGATAATGGAGTAATCATTTGCTTGTATGTTGATGACATATTGATCTTTGGCACTAACCTCAGACAAGTAGAGCTTACAAAAGCATTTTTGTCATCAAGTTTTGCCATGAAAGACATGGCAGATGTGATTCTTGGAATTTGAATCAAGCGTGAAGGCAAAAAACTATCTTTGACACAATCTCATTACATTGAGAAAGTGCTTAAGAAGTTTAATTGTGAGAATTGTTCTCCAATGAGCACTCCCATGGATGCGAGTGTGAAGCTTATGCCTAATATGGGACAAGCAGTGTCACAAATTGAGTATTCACAAGTAATTGGCTGCTTAATATATGCCATGACTAGCAGTAGGCCAGATATAGCTTATGCTGTAGGGAGGTTGAGTAGATACACTAGTAATCCTAGTACTCAACATTGGCAAGCGTTAAGACGGGTGCTTAAGTACTTTAAAGGAACCATACATTATGGTTGGTCTTATGATGGATTTCCTTCG